GTGACAAGGGGAGCACGTGTGTAACCCGACACCGTTGCAATGAATCGACATCTGACCAATCACGGCTTTGATACGGCCACTACTGCAGGTGAAGAGATGTCGGTGAAAAGACAGTTTCAGTCCGGGGCAAGCAAGAGGGGGAAAAAAAAAAAACATGAAGAAACTAGAGCACCACTCGAAGGTGGGTTATTGTATGAGTCAAATGTACAACTTGTGAATGTTGTATAAGTCAAATTGCCAATTGCCATATTAAAACATCAGCTGCAATTCAGGACATGAAGAAGGCAGTCTCTGCATAGCATACAGGCTAATGGAGTTGCAGTTATTTCCAGCATTCTTTATTTACCATTCATTCAAGTATGTTATGCCTTTTATCTGCTGATGTACAGGAGGAAGAGTGATACACTGTCTGTCTAGTTGGCTTACATAACAGTTAAAGTTTGCAGCCTAAAAAACATGGAGCATTTTTTCCCCTTTTATTCATTTTTATGTCTATTTGCACATTTCATCGTGACGCTCAGCCTCTCCCCTTAAGGCAAGGCAAGGCAAGTTTATTTATATAGCACCTTTCAACACAAGACAATTCAAGGTGCTTTACAAAAAAGAAAGACATTCAGACAAAGGCATTTAAAAACAGTAAAAGATAATAAAAGAAACATTAAAAGAAAAAATACGTGAATAAAAAGTACATGAATAAAAAGTAAACTTTTACTCCTAACAGTCATCATCATGTCAACCACAACACAGAGAAATACTGATAGAAATGTGTGTGTAGTTGTTGATACATTGCTGACAGAGGGAACTATATTTGAATACAGATTTAAGAAATATCAGTTTTTGAGCATGTCATAAGCATGTTTTGTCTTGACTATATTACAACAATATTAAAATAAAATAATATATTTATATTATTGAATTGATTATGATTATTATTATGATTATTATTATTATTATTATTATTATTATTAGTAGAAGTAGTTTATTTGCATTAATTATATTTTAATCTTTTTTAGGCTAGTATTTGGCAGGAAATGCAGACGTATTCACCTGTAAACGCATACTGAAAGACATACATGCACATTTACCATTTACCTCACGGTGTGTCCACACAGCAGCTTTGACCAAATCTTGAAAATCCTGGAGCTGGGCGTGTCTGACAGCTTGGGGATTTCGCGACCAACAACCAATCACATGAATATCACATGAATATCCCGCCCCCGACATACAAAGCAAAAAAACCCGGTTCTTCTACACTATTGTCAAATAGGAAGGGATATGATGAACATTTATTGTTTTAACATTTTGAACATTTATGAGATTAATGTTTATGGTGCTATTTTATGCTACATTCCATGCTGGCTAATGATACTGTCTATGCTTGCTAGCAACGAAGTAAACTGGATATAAAATCCCCAAACAAGCGAAAACCTACCAGTTTCACCCACTGCCTCTGCCACCTCCCCCCATGCCTGGTTCCTCCGGTTTGTATCCCGGTAAGTAAATAGGGACTGGTCATAAAGAACCGGGTGATTTGCTACCGCAATAACTAACTTCTCCTCCATTTTTGTGGAATATAGAAATGAACTGCGGGTCTCGTTCTCCCAGCTTGGACGCGGTTTGATTGGCTAGCGCTTGAACTGTCAGATTTGCATAAACGGATCTGATTGGCTGTCGCTTCCAGCTCAGCCTCAAAAGTTGAACATTGTTCAACTTTGGAATCCTGAACATCCTGGAAATCCTGGAAATCTTCGCCTCGCCCCCCCACAATGCAATTCGGCGACAAGCGAGGGAAAGTGACGTCATCCCCATTCAAAGTCAATGGGCGGAGACGCGCTGGAAGCGGTGGACAAATCGCCAAAAGCTGCTGTGTGGACGGGCCGTCACTGTATACAAAAGTAACTGTGTTGATAATAATAATAAACAGGAATTATACTTGCAAAGTAGCCTACTTTGTTTCCAAAAACAACTGTCGGTTGGGTGGGGGGGCCTCATCTCACAATGTCGCTTGGGGCCCCAAGTTGGCCAGGGGCGGCCCTGGGTCTAACTCTACGGTACGTCCACACAGCAGCTTTTCAAAAATCTTGAAAATCTTGGAGCTGGGCGTGTCTGAAAGCTTGGGGATTTTTTGCGAGCAACGCGACCAACAACCAATCACATGAATCTCCCGCCCCCGACATACAAAGCAAAAAACCCCGGGGATTTTATGCGAGCAATATATATATATATATAAACTCCCCAAACAGGCGAAAACTTACCAGTTTCACCCACTGTCTCTGCCACCTCCCTCCATGCCTGGTTCCTCCGGTTTGTATCCCGTTAATAGTTATGTTCGTAAAGAACCGGGTGATTTGCTACCGTAATTTCTCGTTTGGAATATGAGGAAATGAACTGCGGTCTGGTTCTCCCTGTGTGTGTGTTTCGCTGCGCTTACCTGTCCGGAGCTGCAGGATTTCTGCTTCACACACGTTGCATACCGCTATTTTACTGTCTTTTTCGGACACCTTAAAATAATGCCAGACCGGTGAAGCCATTTTGGCGAGCTTGTTTTGCCGCACACAGAGAAAAGTGTCATGTATTTTACGTCATGCGATCGGCTCTCGCGATCGGCATGTTTAGAGAGCACCGATCGATTGGTAGAGAGTGAGTATCGGCCGATCTCGATCGGTGACCGATCGATCGGAGCATCCCTACTGAAGACAGATCTTCTCCTCTCCCAGGGTGGTACACTGCCTGGAAGGAAGCTCAAGTCAGGGAATACAAGTCCCCCAGCGGCATGAATGTCACCACCGATTGTGACGTGATTCGGTGCATATTCCTTTTTAAAATGGTACTTTTTGTCCAGTATTCTGTGAATCCTACTGCCCGGAACTGGCTATACACTGTACACTGCACAGCATGACAATTAACGACCCTTATTAAGTTCCCACCTTTGAGTGACCTACTGTAAAGCCTTCAATCGACGTGTGTGTATTGGAGCTGTGGGAGTTATCAGAGGCACAGCAGACAGGTCGAAATTCAATCCCACTGCCTCCCTGATGAAGGCTGCAGAGCAAATGACCACCATTTTATAATTAATGAGAATTATAAAATAAAATAAAAATAAACATGCATATGAGATTTATAGCTCGTGAATTTTATTATCATCATTTTTTTGGATAAGGATACATTAAACAGAGTTTAAATGATAGGACCAAAACACATATCTGTGTATTAGCATAAAGCCCTCCTGGGCCTCTGAGGTAATCTGGTAGCAGCATGCTAACTCTTCCCAGAGTCCAAATTAACATTATGATTATGACCCGTTTATTATCTAGTCCTCTGTTTTATCTCTTCAATTTATTTGAGATGGTTTAATTTGCATCTTAATGTTGTATGCTTCATTTCCTTATTTATAATGCATTATGTCAAGCATTTGGAATTGCTTTTGTGTATGAAAAACCTGCCCTGCCCTAAGTTCATGAAAGCACATTTTATCGACTAAACTCTCCATTTATACATATTTGTTTTGGAACAATCACCTTTATGAGTTTCATTTTCAGGTTCTTTTTCTTTTTCGCTGTGCACAACTGGCCTGACCTGGGCAGGTCTCTAAAAAGTCAGCAGATAAGCGAAAGCTCTCTTCACAGAAAGAGTATCAAGCCCACACAAAATGCCACGGTACTCCACGGAGGCCACGTTGTGAAAAATACCTCCTGATATCATCTGGATACTGTAGGGTTTATGCAGCATTCAATTTATGTACTGGCGGGAAAGGCACACTTAAGGACAGCAGATTGACTCCGCAGTGCAGAGAGCATGTGGTCATGTCTTCCAGATCAGATTGTTCTTTGTTCGGGCTCAGGCAGAGCGCACAAATCTCAGCGGGAAGTGGTTTGGCTAAAGAAATAAATTGAATTTGAAGACAGTCTCCAATGTCACATTCAGCTGTGCCTGCCGTATATGTACTTGTATTAAGCCTCGTTCCACTTACACAAAGCCATTCCTCATACGATCAGCAGGTAGAGGCAGTCAAACAGCGCTGAGGATAGGCAGCTCGTCCAATCGGAGACAAAACTGTGAACTGTGAATCGCGAGGAAAACAAGACATCCAATGGTACAGTTCGCTGCAGGTTATTCCCCCCCCCCCCCTGGGTTGGAGGCTACATCATGTGACACAGAGTCAGTGACAGGCACCCTTAGAGTCAATGAAGATGTCACAAAGAGATGAAACCACAGTCTCTGAGCTTTCTTGAAATGACTACAGAAATGTTTTAAAGGAAAGAAAAATCTTCATCATTAGATAAATATCTTAGGAAGCCATGGCAACAACTAATGAGGCTCTTTTTTCATCTATACACAAAGCTCAATCTTGTTATTATTATTATTATCTTTGAAGCCTCTCGTCTTCGCTGACCTGTGAAAACTATTCATCTCTAAATTTGGTGATTTTAATTAAGTGTCACTTTACTTACTTAAAGCCACAGAAAATAACGTTGTCACTGTTGAAAACAAGGTTGTTTTTCTTGGATCGTGAAATAAGAAGAAGAAAGAATAAGAATACAAAAAACACCAAAAGAATATGAATGGGAGTAAATAAATAAATTCAGGTATTTGTGACATGATCCCACCTGTTGGCGGCGGATTCAGAAACCCCCCCCTGCAGCCACGCTTTTTGAAAATGATTCAACTGTAAATAGATTAGCTGCAGGCTTTACTAACATCAGAAACACATCCTTCGCCTGTGATCTTCTCTGCTCGTAGGTTTATCCACCTTAAGCTTCTTCTTAAGAACATCAACCCCTTAGCTGCCCTGACGTTGTGATTCAACGCATTGCTATGGCTGAATTTTACACTTAATTATCTTCATGTACTTCAACACGGACATAATCCAACATAAAGGATGAACACACCTCCTGAAAAAACCTACTCATGTTTGAGTATAATTCACTGAAGTGGCCACTAACTAAGCTAAGCTAAACTAAGCTAAGCTAAGCTGGGCTCCCTCCCCCTCTTCCTCTTACCGTCCACACAGGCGGGTCTGGCTCTTGTAGTCCCGGCGATCTGGCCCTTCTTACAGGCGCAGCGGGCCGTCTGCCTGGCGATGGTCCGCCGTGGTTGGCTGCTGTCCCGGTCCAGCGTCACAATCTCACACGTCCCCGCTGCCAGCTGGCCTGGAAAACACATTGCACCATAGTATGTGAGGTCAGAGGGATGAAATCATAAACAGGGGAACATAAAACTAGTCTGTTTCTCCTGTTAAATGCGTGTTCTGTCACAGGTTCAGTGCTCTCTGTTTTTGGGAATCCTATGAATGCTTACATTAGCACGAGACAAAAGTTACCACATTCAAATGAGTGGGGTTCACTGGGGACACTGTCACTGTATTTAAATACTGTAAAATATGTTTACACAGGCTAGGAAATGGACTTGTCCGTTTAAAGTGAGGGTTTGTACGTTTTGCTGTACAACAGCCATTTTTGCCACATTAACAGAATAATGATATTCCTACTGTCATTTAAATTCCCAAGCTTCCCTTGAGCAAGTGGTTTAATTACTTGGGCTAGTTAACATTTAGAACAAGCTAATTTGCTAGCATTAGCCACCATAAGATACTGATCAAGTTAGAGAAAATCTGTGGTGTATTGAATTGAGAAAGGGTTTCACTGCTAATTAATTCAACTTTTTCTTTTCCAGGGGTAGATTTATGTTATTTCCTTTTTCACAAGTAAAATGTTCTCACTTTAATTAACTGATTGTATACAAGGAAGGTAAAAAATGTGATCCCAAACAAAAAAACAAGCTCAAATTAACGATAGCTGTGATCACATACAAGCAGAGCTGGCCGCCTCTGTTCGGATTGGTCAACCACTTAGAGATGTCCCGCACCGTACCCTATCACGTACTATGTGTTGGAGCGCTATCCAATAGAAGTGCAAGTGTTACATAGTAATGTCACTATGTAAGAAAAAAACAAAACACTACAAGCGAGGTATTTCAGGCAGGAGAGGGAGGGGGGGGGGATATGTCAGAGAGAAACGTCATCTTGAGATAACTTTGGTGTTTAGCCTTTGCAGACCATTTAAATGCAAATAAACATATAACACACTATAGGAAAGGGAAAAGCCCAAAAAGCATAACAGGGCCTCTTTAAAGAAATACTTTATCCGACCTTAATCACAATGGAGAGGTTTTGAAGATACTGTCTTGATATGTTCACATCAATGTCAGACTAGAGGTACGTTCTTAAAGGTTGAACAGACCCCAGAACAGAGGGGCCACTGCTGGGGTAATGAGAAGCTCACAGGTGTGACTGTGTGAAGGGACTTTAAAAGACAATGGGAAATTACTTTTTTCACCTACCTAAAGACTTAGGACTAAAAGCTATTTCTCATTAAGGGCCACGTTCTATCAGCACCCCTCTTTGAAGGTAAAGTGCCCATTAGCCATGAATGAAAGACATGAATACTGATGAACTTTGTAATTGCTGCCAAGGCCCCCCCATCTTACACACAAATGCTCGATGTATTCAATCAGGTGACCTTCGTCCTCGTAGCCGGGCCCTTGCTGCTCGCAAATTAACCTTTGTCTGTGTGTGGAGGCCCTCGGGTGCCATCCTGCAGAGGCTTATCAGGATATAATTGTGATTGGCAAGAGGATGGAAGTTGTGATTAAATCTGGACTTGAGTCCCGACCACTTGGGTGGCTGGCTTAATGAACTGAGCTGTGAGGGGTCACACCCGGGGTAATGGGGGATCTATCAGGATGCATCCGCACTGTGGTGGCCCTGGCCACAGATAGAGGACATGTCTGGGTTAATATAAATAAAAAGGTGGGTCTGCATATGAAGGGGGAAAAAGGCCAAACACCAGATATTTTACAAAAGTCACGCAACTAGAAAATTAACTTTTTTGTTAACCGTTTTTATCTATGTAAATGGGAAATATTTAGTACAAAATCATACTATACACCAATACTTTGTGTGATGCTCCTATGTCTTATATGCTAGTACTGAGATACCCTAAACCAGTGGTTCCCAACCTTTTTTCCCAAGAGCCCCCCCAAATGACTCCTGTTGGAAGTTGCGCCTCCCCCCCCCACACACACACACACACAACAGCGGTAATTAAAGTTTAAAAGTCTCAAAAATGCTACAACTACTGTCACAAACTGGATGAATGTGAAGTATTGTGTTAAAGGAGGATGAAAGCGTAATTAAGGAGCACTATTGGAGTGACTTTGATGGTTATTGGACTCAGGATGAATTCATTTGGATGCCCGCTGTATGAAGAAATGAAAGGACGGCGCGGAAGTGGAAACAATTCACAAAGGGATTAAACTGTTTAAAACACATGCTCAAAGTAAGCCGGATGTTGCCGATGTGTTTATGTGAATTCAAAAGTCATAAATAATCTACAAAATGGAGGAGACCGATCTGATCGGAGCAACTATGAAAAATAATCCAACTGAAACCGGCATGGACAATGACTATGTTTTAAAAATGCGCTTATCCAGAAAAGCACATGTTGGACACTTTACGGGCAGAAGAAACATTTCTATAGAAAGAATTATACATTTCTGTCTTTTTATGCCTTTAATAGCTACTAACTTGAATTGTTATTCAAATGAATTAATCAATTATTTTTGATATTTTATTGTAGAGACAAGGCTTTTAGTGACAATCATGTATTGCTTTACAATTATATGTAAAAAAAAAGAAAGAAAAAAAAGTCTAAATATGATATTTGGCCTCAAATCATCTGAGGCCTGGCGCCCCCCCTGCGATCTTTGGCGCCCCCCCAAGGGGGGCGCGTCCCCCAGGTTGGGAACCACTGCCCTAAACCAATAATGCTGTATATGAATATAATTTGAACATGCATACAACAATTCTACATTGAAACGTTGATAACCATACGCAATTTCAACTTTTAATGAGCTGAACATTTCATATTTATCATAAGAAATAGATTTTTAGCAAACCTTAGCAAATCATGTACAATGTGTTGGAGCACTAGCGACCTCTTGGGTGTTTTAGCCTTTGCAGACAATTTAAATACGCAAAATCCTTTATAACACACTACAGGAAGATATAGAAGGAGTCCATTTGAGGCGTTCCAGGCAGGGGGGTAGTGTGTGGGAAGAGCATGATAGGGCCTCTTTCAATGATAAGGTAATGAGAGGTTGTCTATTTAAATGTCAACACACTGACTCAAAGTGGTCAATTCATTTGAGCACAGATGTGTTGTTCATAATGTCCGACCCCATGAACCTCTAGCCATGTTTATCTGTACTGCAGTCTCAAGCCAGAAGCCACACATTAGAGCCACATGCAGCTCTATAAATACAACTCTTCCAATAGTAAGAAGGGGAAGTGATTACAAATGTGCCTTTACTTGGAAACTCATGCCAACAAATCCAATCTGTCATGTATTGTGCACTTGGGAGATCTAGACCAACCCCAACCCCCCCCCAAGCACCACCACCCTTTCCACTGCTCTCTTCCTCTTCCTTCACAATGCTGGCTCTTTTCTCCTTCATGTCTCCTCACTTTACTCCCTCTTGCAACTCTTCTGTCTTCTCCGGGTGATGCCAGATAATGACTTGTCATGTAAGCCCTTGTGTGCGTATGTAAATCTGTCCATGTGTGTATGTGCGCGCGTTCACTTCCTGCATCCTTCCCCACCCACCATCTCTGCATATCATCTTCTTGGATGCCTTCTTCCTGCTTCCTCTCTTTGTCAGTAGCTTCTCCTTTGGAACTCTTCCATTGCAAGAAGCTGAAAAGACTTTCTGAATGTCTTATGTAACCGCGCAGATCGCTGTGGCGCCGAGGTACCATGTGTGAAGTCAACATGCTCAAAGACTGGCAGATTTGACGCTGCACGATTCTCTGATGAAATGTAGGCAATTAATGAGCTCCATCGAGTCAAGAAAGAACAACAACAAACAAGGGCCCTGCTTATACTGTCACAGCTGTAGCTCCAGAGAAACTGAATTGATTTCATTTTGATGTTGTTGTCTTGTAATGTATTATATAAAACTGCAATGACTGATAACGAAACTTTTCATTTTGAACACAATAAAGGAATATAATAATTGTGCTCTGCCTCATAAATATTTGTAGTTGCATTCTCTCTAATGGCATTGTGCTTTAGCAGGTGTTCTTCACAGTTAGTGTGTTGTTGATACCACTTCTATTGTTAATCACTGTATTTTCCAAATGTTGAAGCCCAATCCTTAATCAAAAGTCAAATTGTTGTTGTATTTGATTAACTACTTAGTAAGGCAAATTGCAAACCATATTTCTACTTGTTTTTAAGCTAGCATGATTCATAATCAAAGTCATGATAATTAATCAAGACTAAAATCCACAGCCATGCTTGTTCAGAAAGTTAGGGTTAATAAAGTTATTGTGATTCATTCCAAGGGGAAACATTTCATCGTAATTCGTTCAAACTCAAGTCTGAGATTTCACTCAAAGCCAGAAATATCAGAGGATATCCCAAATTAATTATTATATCGTAAGGGACCCATGCATATTGTTTTAACATGTTGGTGCTTAGTCATCCAGTTGATGTTGGGACATTTTGTTGAATAAAGGGAAAGTCTTACTTGCTGTTTGTGCTAGAGGACAGTCATGGGTGACCGACATCAGTAGGAGTCATTGTCTGTGAATGTATGTACTACATTTAATGGCGATCTACCATGGATGTAAGACAAGTAGATAAGGTGTTGGAGGCAGGACCCTGTTCATTCCTATGAAAGTTTCCCAGTGACGCATGAAGCCAAAGTGGCCTGATTGGCGGTGTACAAAAATACCCATATCTAGACCCATAGCATGCACATTTCTTAAGCCCCGCCTCCAATCCACAGCCAAGGGCAATCTTGGTTCAGTCAAATTAATGGAGAGAGAAAATATTTCTGGATTCTGACTATAAGCGCACTTTCCCTCTAATGATTTAAATAAGGCCCATCAAAGTGTCCATACTGGGTAGTTGATTCAGTTATCCTCTGATTTACATGTGCATTTTTTCCAATGTAAGTCAATAGGAGAAGTATATGACGTCAGATATTTGGGATGAAAGTCCGTAGAGACCTGCGAGAGAGAATTTGAATTTTAAACAAGTTGGTTTCTGCTGCAAGCATACTAGGTGTTATGCAGTCTTTCTAAATA